TATTTTATTGCGCCAAAGATCTGACCCAAATGTAGGGATCGATCCAGCTTATTGCCACATCTCGTGAGGAAGATGCGTACTTATGTATTGGATGCATTAACCTAGTTTTTAATCGATTTATTAAAATAATATGCCAATTAATATCTCAATTATGACTGTTACATTTAGATAAGAACAATTTCGGTCAATGAACGGAGGCATTCGCTTGCAGTGTCCTTTTCATTTCTTTAAGCATGCCTTAGGTATATTTACCGTTTAGACCTTTATATAGGACATTTCGTGCTAATTGAGTTACGGACACGGCAAATCATGTAATAATCTGTAAATATTAGTATACAGGTCAGTTATATTCGAAGAAAACTATATCTTCGGTATATCATTGTTTTTCGCGCTGTTCGGCCGATGTAAGCGAGAAGAGGTTCTCCACGTTTTGCCATAACAAGCGGACGGCATCATCAGGAGATGTTGTTAGCTCCTCGATTGCTCGATGAATTATGATATTAATTATCCTATCGCTTACATTGGCTGAACAACCCGAAAAACAATGATATGCTGAACGATGGCCGTGAAAGCCTTACACAATGTATTTCTGGTGTTATGCTGTTAACACAATGTTTATAGTGGAATCGTCTGTAATGATTCAGCGATTAATCTTTGCTAAACTATGTTTGGTTTCAATCGGTTAATTAATACGACTACAAATGTTGCGGTTACAGATAACGAGTGCTCTTAATACCTATTACACAATTATATTGGTCGGTTTGTCCTACCTATTTGTTTGTGTAGCAGCATGTGTATATAATATGTATTTTGAAAAGAAGAAAGGGAATTGTTGGTGTAAATATGTACAACACATTTTGGAATTGCGAATAACGGACTTTTTGGGGTAAAAATGGTGAATGATTGATACTCTGTTCTGTTATTACAATTAAAAGTTTGGGCAACATGTAACCATATATTTTTACAGCAACAAAGCTTTAAGTAACAGTTTTGATTGTGTAAGCTGTGCCTTTATCTGCCATCATTATAACTTTCTCTGTGCAACCAAGCTTTCTTTTTAAATATCAGCCAGGGAATTAATATTTGTTTTCTTACAAAGAAAACGTGCCTAAATGCACTGAATACTAATTATAAATACCAATCTTTTTTATTAATTTTGTAAACGTAACGAAAATTTATAAATAAACGTTGTATATACACATTAAAACACTGTCAAAAAACGTAAAATCTAAGTAGATTTTACGTTTTTTGCCAGGTAAAAATTGTTTCTTAGAGGATAATTTTATTTCAGTCATACCTATTTACAATAGGTATTTAAAGTAAAATCTCGTTTTCCACGAAGGGTATTTTACACGTTCTACAAGGGAATAGTTGATGAGACCCTTGTACCCTGCCCGACGGAAACAATCGATTATTTTCCCGGGATTCGAACCCAGGACCTTTGGCGTGTAACGCAATGCTAGGCAACACATTGCATTATTTATTTAAGTATGTATTATATTTTTTTTTACTTGCCCCCCTTTATACATTTAATTTGTATGAATATTTTTAAAAGCCCCTAAGTAATTATAATACATATTTATGTAGGTAACTTTTTTGTATTCTGCGCGTTGATTAGTTTAAGTAAACATTAAGTTCATATTCCAGGGAGTATGAATCCTGGATTATTATGTATTACCATGACCATGTATCTATGAGCAGCACGAGTGCGTAGGCACCAATAATTGAATCAGACCACTGAATCCTGAGAAATGCGCGCTTAAACTGCGAGAACACCTCAATCTAATTACTATTCTAGAATGTCTCGCCAGCTGAAACGTGATGCTTTGGTAATTAGGCAGGTCTTTTAATAGTTACTAACCCACAGCTGACCCGTCTCTCATAGGAGAGAAGATTTGGATCCCACGCACCTGTGTGTCTAGAACACTACCTCCACCTAACTTGCACTTTGTGGAATGAGGCTGATCACACAATAACTTTCACATAAAGAAATTCTTTTAAATACCGAGCTAACACTTCGCCAAAATCGGGATTCGAACTCGCTATTACGCATTAAACTGGTAATCCAACGACGTTCGACGAAGTTCCATCATCACGATGGGTATTATCAACACTACATACATTATCTAACAGTCATAAAACTTTTAAAAATTGTTGTCTATTTTATGATCTTTTACTTGATATGGGTTAAATGATTTTGTAAAAGGGATAGTAGCTCAAAGCTCAGGCATTATTCAAATCTCTCAGATAAATCATGACTTTGTCATAAGAAAACCTAAACAAAACACTTATAAATGTTTACTCCATGTTCTATATGAATAAATTTCTATCTACCTATGTAATGAAAGCTGTCATAAAGTAAGAAAATTTTGGTAAAGTAGGTAGGAAAAACTGAATATAATTCACATTTAACAATGTGCTGTACTTGTGTAAGCTACAGACAATACTTAAAATTTAACCCCAGTTAAAGCAGTGAAGATAAAACGTCCCTTATATTTGATGAGTCAAATTACTTTGAATGCAGTTATAAGTGATCAGTAAAAATACTTTTAAAGTGACTACTTATGCTTATGAATCATCAGAGATAATTATAGCATATTATTGTTATATGTAAGTAGAATATAAGTGGCTGGTTTTAAAAGGCAATTGTATGTAGGTACATGATAAGATCCATATTTTGAATAAGCGGCTAAAGCATGACTAACTGAATGTTTGACTTGTTAAGCACTAATGTATTACATTTTTTAAAGTAAATCTATAAAAATATACTATATATAAAAAATACCTCCCCCGATAGAGTACTTTTGTGTAAGATAATATTTTCATAGGTTCTTAACTTAGTCAGAAAGAATGATTTTATAAACACAAAAATACTACAAATTGATACCTAAGTTTACTGAATATCTACCTACTTAACTGAAATCTATTCTTTTTAAGAAAAAGTATAAAATTAAATGATACTGGTTTGTTTGTATACATGTTATCTCCCTTTGCTATAATGAAATTGGCTTTTAAAATTTGTTGAAATTACTTTTATACTCAAAGAAATTGTAGATCACAATTAGAATCTCCTACAGTAGAAACAACACAAAAATACAATAAATATGTGCCTATAATATTTTATTAGTAATCAGTTAATATTTTTTTAATCATCAGTAGATTCTAATATCTTATATATAAAGTATATTTTTTACTCTTTAAAACCAAAATCAAATAATATTTAAAAGCTTTGTCTGCTAAAACCCTCGCTTTGAATTTACCTAAACCGCAATTAATGTAGATTGATTTAAGTAATAAATATAAAAATTAACACAAATATACATAGTTTAGTTTGAATACTTACAATACGAAGCATACTATGCTCAAACAGCTGTTAAATATTTCCCTCACACGGTCAGAAACAACTCGTTAATATAACGTTCACACCACCAACAAAATAAAAACACTTAGTCTATTTATATTTTAAGTTTCACTACAACATTACAGAATCGTTTAAATGTTATTTAGATATACTCATTTCCAACATAAGCTTACTCTTTATTAACTAATAACGTTACTTTTGTAATGTAAAATGAAACTAAAACAACTGCGAACGCACAGTAGTCACGATAGCAACGCGACGCACGTCTCGTACGCAGACGATTATAACACCATTTGAAAATTCCTATTTTCCAAGTCGCCAATTCGAATTTCAAAACAAGTTATTTGATGACTCTGACATCTGACAATTGGCAACTTGTTGTGTATTGATTGTCAACACAGATAAACAAATATTAGTCTATAATGACATCAAAAGAGATTATTAGATCTAAATTAATTCTACATCTAAGAATTACGTTTAAGATTCATCGATGGTAAATGAATTGGTCAATATTTAATTTGTTGTTTTAATGACTGACAAATAACAGATGTTATTAAGTATGATATGAAATTGGTATTGTCTGTGCCATTTAGTACTTACGTCAGTTGACAGTTCCTCCATTTTCTATGAAATTATTAAATTGAAACGAATCTTGAAAAAAACGGCATTAAATAAAATAGTATCAGAAGTCGGTAAAAAATCTTTATATAGTATATGATGTGATTATAATAAATTAATGCGTCTCATTTTTATTTTACTCGAATTTTAGACATTACCCTGAATAACGGTAAGTAAAGCTTTTTCCATTAGGGACAAAATGTTTGTATTGTAGATAGAAAGTAACCGTTGTCGGGCGGTAACTTCACTGTTTAGATGCTCTAGATTTATATAATAAGCTCTGCAATGCTTTCGATTTGTTAAGGCTAAACGGTACAATTAATAATGTCGTAGCCATTAATTTGTCTGCTTCAGAGGAAATTACCGTTGCGTTGAATCACCATTTACTATAGTTGCAAATTTATACATACCAAAGGATGTCTGTAATGCGTTTTATTCTTATATTATATATCTAGTCTACATGTGTTGTTTAATTAGAGTTTCATATTGAAATTTTTGTCGCCTGCAGCAAGTAGAAAGCGTGAAAATTTTTCAGAGTAATGCGTTAACACGCGAAACAATAGGATTAGAATGACCGTTAAGCGGTTATTGTTTCGTTTCGTATAATTTGCGTATGAGAATGAATAATTTCTAAAATATATCACTGTTAGTGAAGTAGTGTGTTAGTATTTGCATTTAACTGCATCAACAGCTGCAATCCTTGACCTTGTAAAAAAGAAAACAAAAGGTCACACTTGCATACAGAGTAAACAAAATCATTCTCAGGGCTAACTGCAATCCTTATAAAGAGCTTCCTTAAATTCCTTTATAAAGCTTTATCCATTTAAAATACTTAATTTAAATTAAACCTTAGTGGTTATAAAACATGCATATAATTAATAAATAATCCAACAAATTGTTATCAAGTGCTGTATTAAAAAAATATCTTTTGGTCATACTTTTAGAAAATGTATACTCCTAATGTACTTTATACTATTCTTATAATTGTAATTTCAGCTAATAATCAACTGAGAACATAAAAATGGAGGACGAAAATGAGTATAAGAAGTTGCCGACTGAAGATAAATGTGTGCACAAGCTGTGGAAGGCCAGATTGGCAGGCTACGAGGAAGCAATTAAGCTCTTTAATCAAATTGATGATGAGAAGTCACCAGAGTGGAACAAGTACTTGGGACTTATTAAGAAATTTGTAACTGACAGTAATGCTGTGGCACAGGAAAGAGGTATCTTTTTGAAGTTCTCTTTGACATTTTCAAATTCAATGTACCATAATATTTTATGGGAGCAAATTTAAGAAATGTAACGTTTCCTCAACTGTAAAAGTTGTTTGTTTTTTGAGCTGTCATAATTTAAAAATGGTCCACAACATGCATCTGTTACAAGTAGATATAGTATTTTAAAATGTTTCATCAATTCTTCTGTAAATTATAGTTTTCTTGTGTAATAAACAATACAATCATCCTAGGAAACTGTCTCTGTAAACACTACAAGAACCGTTAAAAACTAATTGTACTGATTCTTTATAATTTTTTTCTGTTTATAGGTTTGGAAGCAGCGCTAGTATTTGTAGAAAACTGTGGTCATGCAGGTAAAACTACTGGCGAAGTTATGTCAGGAATTGTCTCAAAATGCATTGCAGCACCTAAGACTAAAACTAAAGATCTTGCACTACAGGTGCGTTACTAACAATTAATTTAAATGACCCCATAAGTATTTATAAAGAGTTGGAAGTTGTTAATGATGTAACAAATTTAATACTTTGTCTTAGAAAAGTATGGCCTACCTACATAGCCTAATCATCAAACACATTGAATAGCATTGTACTAAGCAATACAGAACTGGTAGCCCCAAGCCCCATATTAAATTAACAACATCCTCATAAAATTAATTTATAAATTACATATGTAATTTTTAATTTGCAGATAACATTAATGTACATAGAAATTGAGAAACATGAAGTTGTAGAAGAAGAATTGATCAAAGGCATGGAACAAAAGAATCCTAAAGTGGTTGCAGCATGTGTCACTGCTTTGAACACAGCTCTTAAACAATTTGGTAATAAAGTTATTGCAATCAAGCCAATGGTTAAGAAGATCCCAGTGTTGCTAGCTGATAGAGATAAAACAGTACGAGATGAAATGAAAGCATTGGTTGTCGAAATGCATAGGTATGTAAGCCATTGAAGTCTATTACATCTATCCAATCTCTTATGGTTGGAATGAATGACAATCAACAGGTTCAATCTCCAACAGGTTTAAAATGTTTTTAATCAAAAATTCTTTTCACATGTTGGAATTTTTGAAGTCTAGACATGAAATTGGTGTAGAAATATCGAAATTCCGATTGGATCTGTTCACAGATGAAAAAGAAGTTTAATCTCGTTTTGGTTTCAGTCTGTGGATTTCCAAATATTCAAAGCTAAAATAGGTTGACAGTGCCTCTTTGTATGAATTATATAATTTTTTTAAAGAGGACCTTATGCGTAACTAATTATTGTGTTCTTATTGGAAACGCCAACAGAAAGCCAGGTGATCAGGCCACTTTAGCTGCCGACTATTTTACACATTACCATTAATTACGCTTTTAGAAATTGAACAGCTGAGCTTTGCGACTTCTCCGCATAAAATAGATATTTTGGGCATCAAAATTTCAATTTGCAAACATTACCTTTATAAATTAGAGCTGTTACTCAATGCCTTTTGCAAGGTATTCTTAAAAGATAGTCATAGACTGTCGTGGACATTTTTTCTAGATCATTTAAAGAGGAATAATTCATCATTCTTTCATTCCTTTTCCTTTTCCTGAATTATTTTCATATTTCCCTCTCACTCTTCACTCCTATCAGTCTCGAGTCTTCTCATTGGTTCAAATCCTGCATGTTATTTAACATTGACAGTGACTTTTTTTACTGATGTATTAATTTTTAAATCATTTTGCACCTTTCGGGCCCCAAATAATTATTTTTGTTTCCTGATTGACATCCGCGATTCGTTGCACAAACCGGTGTTACTATAATTTAGATTGTATACTGGTAAACTTGAGGGGACCGTTTGTTTTTTTTTTGCAAGGACCCAGCCAGTTTCGCCAAATACAAACTACGACGGAACAGATGTCGTAGCAGTTTTTTTACTTTGACATTAGGAACAAGTTTAGTTCTAACACATTTCGTGTTTTAAAACGATCAAAGTGTTTTATTTAAATGTGTACTACTCGGTTAAACTACAGACAGTTCTTAGTCAGTATAATTAAATTATATCTATTCCAGATGGATTGGTGGTGCAATAGAACCTCATATAGCATCTCTGCAGGCTGTAATTCAACAAGAATTGAGAGAAGCATTCGCTGGCACTGGTGGAGGAGCACAGCCTACCAGATACTTGAGGTCTCAGCAGAACAGGGTCAGAGATACACCTGTCGCTGATGCTGTTGATGGTAAATTGATTTTTACTCTCATGCTCACTAATACTATAAGTAGATAAAATTTTTGAATGTAAGGTTTTATTGTTCATCTTTCACACAAAAATTACTGAATAATGCTTGTGGTGGCACATGATGGCACTATATAAATTCAAAATCGATTATTAATTGGAATAAAAATTAAGGACATTAGCAGGGCTGGAACCGGCGTCCACAGCGTTCGAGAGCAACAGCTCGTTGCTCACGAACGCTGTGTGTGCTGTGTCGTAAAAATGTTTTTCAATCTAAAAGCGATTTTTAATCCATACTTATATTATTCACATCTCTTTATAGTAAGAAATCCAGTAAAGAACTGTTCTGAAATTAATTCAGTCAAACCTAATGAGGCCTTTAACCTTTGGATAAACTGTTCTGTTTTAGGATCAGTAGAAGACGATGATGCTGAAACAGGCTGTGGTGACTCAGGGGACATGGACCCATATGACTTAATGGACCCAGTGGAAATAATATCAAAACTTCCAAAGGATTTCTATGACAAGCTAGAAGCAAAGAAGTGGCAAGAGAGAAAAGAGGCATTGGATTCTTTAGACAATTTACTTAAGAATGCACCCAAATTGGAACATGGAGATTATGCTGATCTTGTCCGAGCTCTGAAGAAGGTAAAAACTCTGATGCTTGCTGATAGACTTTGTCAGGTCCCCCTTGTGTCCATAATAAATAAAAATAGATTCTAGGCACAGCAACACAATCATAATTAATGTCATATATTATTCTACTTACTATTGCTTATTAACCACCGGCTTCAAATGATATCCCAAACAGAATGAAAAGAAGGTTTTTATCAATCTTCTTTTCTTTACTTAGAAGAAGCAATAATAACTTATCTGTATTGACTAAAGTCAATTGATAGAATCAGTCTACTTGTAAATTAAAAATTTATTTTAGATATTTAGAAAAATTATGACACGGACAAAACTTGACAAAAAAAATCCTTATCACACTCAAAACCATAGTTTGGTGGTTTCTGAGTCGTAGACCCCAAAATAATATGTACTATTCTTCACAGGTTGTATCAAAAGACACAAACGTAATGCTTGTGGCACTAGGAACCAGATTATTGGGCATGGTGGCAACCGGTTTGCGGAACAAGTTCCAGCCATACGCTGTGTCGTGTATACAGGCTCTTCTTGAGAAATTTAAGGAGAAGAAACCTAACGTTGTTGCTGCTTTGAGAGAAGCTATTGATGCAATATATCCTTCTGTAAGTACTCATATTGTATTATGTTTGTTTCTTAAATATACCCATTATAAACGATATATTATGTAATCTGTAATTTTATAAAAGAAAATAAATGGATAACTACAATAAACATAATTTATTCTGCCCTTATTACGATTTTACAGCAATGTATTGGTTATGTAAAAGTATAATACTTTGGAACAATTTTCTTTCTAATATAAGAAAAGCCCAGAATCTCGCTTCCTTCAAGAATCTTGTCAAATCCCACTATTTATGCCTAATTATGTAACTTAGTTAAGATAATAATTAATGATTTTTAGATTAAGTTCATTTTGTATTATTGTTTATTATAAGTTTTAGTAGGTAGGTTTTTCTCCTTTTTCTGTTGTCATGCATTCCTTTTTTATTACTGAATTTTCATTTCTAGCACGGTTGCTTGGAAGAGATAGCTATTTAGCTATAAAGTCGCCGATTGTCCTTTATTTCCATCAATTTTTTTTTGTTGTTTTGTTTTGTTTTGTGACAATAAAGAATATTTGTATAATTTGTATTAAATTTAACATTGCGTTTTCATCAAAGTTAACCATTTTTAGACGAATCTCGAAGCAATAATGGAGGATATGCTTGCCGCATTCGATAACAAGAACCCTTCTATTAAAGCAGAGAGCGCTACTTTTCTAGCAAGAGCCCTGTGTCACACACAACCAGCTGCGTTCAACAAGAAACTTATTAAGGCTTACGTAGGAAGCTTACTCAAATTGCTTGAAAGTGCTGGTAAGTCAGTAAATACTAAAATGGGGGAGTAAAAATACTAAGTACTGTTCCTACTTAATAAATAGTAAACAATAGGACTTGGATTTTAGTACAATTGCTTAAGTATTTAATTTTAAAAGTTTTTTTTTGTAATTGCGATTTTATCATTTTTTCTACGTCAACTTTACAATAGGTATAATATATCTTTATAGAGCAGCGCATATATACCTCATTAAAATAGACTTTTCTAATACAATAATTACATTAGCTATACACTCTTATAGTGTTCCGTAAGTATCACATGTAATGTAATTATTTTATTCCTTCTACATGTATTGTGTCGAAGAAAAAATAATCTCATTGTGATAAGAGGATAATATTGTTGCTTTTACGTCATAATATATAAAATCCCTAATTATACGACTTATGGTATATTTACGCTAGAATCTAGTGTTTACTAGGATTTGGTATTTCTAGCTATAACTGGTTATCTGTGTATTGCCAATATTTTATTAAGTCAATAAATGTTTTGTTTATCACACATCGAATTTATTAAAATTCATATATATTTTTCATTTTAAATTCATGCAAGTCCTAACTATACATATAGCGTACAAAGTACAGATATAACTAACTTATATCTGTACTTACGCGCTTATTTACTTATGTATAAATATTATAGACTAGTTTTTTTAATAAGAGGTTAGATACAATGATTGAAATCACAGTGTATACCTATTAATTTTATTCTTCAATTAAACTAGATCCGGCTGTAAGAGATGCAGCATCAGAGGCGTTAGGCACAGCTACTAAACTCGTTGGCGAGAAGAACATCGCACCGCATATTGGCAAACTGGACAATTTGAAAGAACAAAAGATTAAAGAGTTTGCTGATAAGGTAAAAAAATTAAGTAGCACAATCCAGTAGTTTTAAATAAAGGCAGTAGTAAAACAACAAACGAGCGATATATTGAAGTAATCCAAGAGTTTATAAATTATAAAAATGTTATACTTTTATAGTTATGAGGTCTGATCGTTAAAAAGTTACTTGTCAGTTGTTTTCGTTACCTATAAGTGAAGTTCGGTTTCGAGTCTTCTGGATTTGATAAAAACAATTGTACGAATTTATTTACATAAATATTTTGTTCATAGGCTGAAATAAAAGTAAAAGTATCAGCTCCTAAGAAAGAAGTAAAACCTAAATCAGCGGGGCCTGCTGCGAAGGGAGACGCGAAGACGACAGCTGGTTCTTCACAGCCGAAACCAGTAAAACGGCCACCATCAACCACCAAGAGTAAGTTTGAATGTCAAAACTGTTAAAGAAACTTTTAGTAAAGGAGTAAGAAAGAAAGTATTTCATAAAATTTGTAGCTTATTTAATTTGTACTAAACAGGATTGCTTATACTGACTAAAACAACAATTATTTTTAATCTTTCCTTAGTTTACTTTTGATTAGCTTATAGGTGTAATGGTAGCAACGACTTGTGGGTTCTATCCCCACCAGGTCCAACATTAATTGACTTCGTCTATAAATCTGGATATTAAATGGCTGGAAGAAATATTGGAATTCCGTCCAGGTCTTTAACCACCATCCTCACATGAATAAGCCGTCAAGTTAATTCGCGTTTCAATTTCAGTCTGTGGAATTCCGAATTTTCAAAGCCAAAATAGGTCGACCGCGCATCTTATTTAGATGTTATATGGCTGTAGACTATCACCTACCATCAAGTTTGCCCCACGCTTGCCTTCTATATTATACAATAAACCTATATGTATGTTACAGCTAAGAAGCCAGTCACTAAGAAACCAGCAACCAAAACTCAAATAACTCCACCCCGAGAACAGGAACTATCACCAGAAGAGGTGGATGCTCATGCTGAGGTTTTGTTTACGCTTGACATACTAAATGGTGAGTGATATCTTCCCTGTACATTCTGGCCTTATATTTATCTGGTTCCGTATCTGGGATTAAACGAAGCAGCTAAATAAGAGATTTGACCATTAAAGCTACTTCTAACTCTACTTCACTAAAGAGTATGGAGTATAAAGCATTAATGGTGAATAGGTTTTGTCAGCCTGTTTGCATATTCAGTCTAGCAATTAGGTGTTTCTTTAATAACAAACGAGATGTCAAATGCTTTGTAATTACGGATATAATTAGCAAATAATATTTCAATCACTACATAGTATAAAACAAAGTCGCTTTTTCTGTCCATATGTACGATTAAATCTTAAAAACAACGCAACGGAATTTTTTCGTTATTTTTTTAAAGATAAAGTAATTCAAGAGGAAGGTTTTTATATACAACGTTCACAGGTTTTCTGTAGAGTATTAAGTATTATTATTACCATTGCACCCGAGCTAAGGCCGGGGCGGGTCGCCAGTATCGTATAAAATGATGTCATGATATATTAAAGCCTTAAAAAATAAACTGACAAAAACGTACACTTTAAAATACAACACGCTCATGTAAAAATAATTTTAATAATTTTGATTATGAAAATATGTAATTGTATCAGGTCTCGTGGACGGTAACTGGAAAAACCGTCTCACCGCAGTGCAGTCATTCCACTCCACTATACAAGGGTTTAGCACGCAAGACACCAACGCACAAGTGTTATACAAGGTGCTCAATAAAAAACCTGGGCTAAAGGACACCAATGTGCAAGTGCTCAAAGCAAGGCTAGAAGCTTGCAAGTATATAACCGAGAACTTTCCTGTATCTACGTGAGTATAATTTTTGTATACTAAATTTGGTTGGTGCTACTTTGCGTCTGATCTTACTAATATTAATAGATACACTTTTAAATTGTTAACGGAACTACACCATAGACTAACTAACTTGGCAAACGTTATTTTGCCTTATGAAGTATTTTGTCCAAAATTTGATTAACATAAAAAGGTTAATATTAGTTTATCTTAAAAAGTAGATAGAATACTGTCTATAGTTTACGCGAGTAGTACACATTTAAATAAAACACGTTAACGGTTTAAAAGAGGGTGACAGTCTCCCCGTGACCACGGCTGCTGCAAAGCATCCGAAACGTCGGGCCGAAGTTTAAAATCATTTTCAAATAAGTTTAACTAATATATTGCGTTTTCAACAGTAAGTGTTTTATTTAAAGTAGACAGAATTTGATGCGCATTTTTTAAAAATATGTATTATTTAACGATGAGAAATAATTTGTTTCGTTTTCGCAACTCACGCAACGTTGCGAAAGTTAAAGCGAAGTTGCGATAACCAATATGAATAATTTCCCTGTTATTTTTTTTTTCACATCTTCCAATGTTTCTTAGCTGTTGTTGATCGCAGTCTGATGTTTTATAGACAATCAATTCGAACGAGTATGTAGTTCCAGAGATAAGCGCGTTCAAATAAACATGATTAAACTGGAATCGAAAACGTTTTGCTACACTGCAATAAATCCAGGTTGTTGTAAAATTCTCTAGAGCATTTCTATTGTAACTCATAGCACTGCTGCCGACGCTGTCCTTCTGGATGTCGTCATAAAACTGGGCGAAGCGTCTTGTTCCTCCATATCGGCCGACTGTCTCACATTGCTGGCCGATGGCTGTGGCCTGGAGCACGTTGTCAACGAGGGTCTAGGCTTTGCTATGGACTCGCAGAAGAACCCGAAGGTTCAGTCCGAGATGTTCCTCTGGATGACCAATGCCATTAAGGAGTTTGGGTTCACGTAAGTTGACCACATTACGCTTAGTTACTGATTTAGTTTTAATTGTAAGTTTACAAGTAGTTATATTAAGTTAAATATGCTACTGTCAAGCTTATCTTATCTTGTCATAAAGAATTAATAATAAATAGTTATTGGATTGAATGTAGAGTGCTTGTATATACTTATTATTATACTTTTTATATTTATACCAATAAGTATTTTCTGAGATGAATGGACACTATGGATTTATTACGTACTTTATTTATTTCAGTATGAACGTTAAACCAATAATAGCCCACAGCAAGAAAGCCCTATCCGCAACAAACCCTAACGTTCGGACGGCGACAATCAATTTCCTCGGTGTCCTCTCACTATATGTCGGTCCTTCACTTCTGAGCCATTTCGACGGAGAGAAACCAGCCACCAAACAGCTGATCAACGCTGAGATAGATAAATACGCTAATAGTACACCACCGACCCCAACAAGACAAGTGGGACGAGTCAGTAAGGTATAAATTCCATATTCTTGCGAAAATAAATATACGATACATGATTATTTTTAGGATTAATTGGATATATAATAACATAATATTTATTCTGCAGTATTTTTTTACATGCGTATTTATTTAAAAGCTTAGAAACTTTTTAAACTCACAGTTTTTACTAAATCACTATTTACTCTATGTATTTACACCCAGCTCCTATTATTTTCAGTCTGCAAGTAAAGGGTCGGTAGGTGATGAACTAGAGGATGTGGAAGAGGATATCGCTGATGACGAGCCACCTGTCGTCGAAGACACACGCACGAGAACGGATATAGCACCGCTGATCACTGACACGCTAGTTGGCGAACTTGGTGATAAAAATTGGAAGGTAATTTTTATCACTTGTTTAATTAGACCCTAAAAGTAACTCTTATAAAAATATATGTGTGTGTAAGGTAGCTTTAAAACGTTAGATCGAAACGCAGTATTTCATAATGCCATTACAAACCCTTAGGGAAATTGTCACTTAAAATCATGTATTTGTATTACAAGTACAAAATTATTTTTATATAATTACTTCAGTTATATGTGTATACGCTATACACTCAATGAATGCACTGATAAGAAGTTAGTCTTAAAAGATAGACATCTATTTTCGTGGATAATTTTTTTGGGTATCTTGATCTACAGCGCACCAAACGGAAACTCTCAAATATTAATAATTTTCCTTGTTTGTTCCACATTTTCCACTGTATCTTCGCTCCTATAATTCGCAGAGTTATGTATTATAGCCTAAGGTCTTTATCGATAGATGCTATAACCAACACGTGAATAATTTTTCAATTCGAATTAGCAATTCGTGAGATTAGCACGTTCATATACCTATATTTTGTTTTATAAGTAAAGAAATTCTATATTATGTATATTTCTTATTACCAGGTCAGAAACGAGGCATTGGACAAGCTCAAAGCGATAATAACCAATTCGTCCCCAATTAAATCGAGTTTGGGTGAACTACCACCAGCGTTGACAGCTAGGCTTCTAGACTCAAACTCCAAGTTGGCTCAGAGCGCCTTGCAGATCTGTGAAGTAATCGCGACTGCTATGGGACCTAAATGCAAACAGCATGTGCGGACATTCTTTCCGGGATTCTTTCAAGGTTGGCACTTACCACATTTGTACTCAGATTAAAATATTATTTTAAAGTTATTATTCTTTTGTTTCTGATCAAAGAAGAAACGTTTTAACAGTTTTTTTTTTTATTTTATTTAAATGACAGTCTATAAAAAGTATAATAAACTTTGTTTGTTGTTACACTACAAAGAGTTAGACCTCTATTTAGGAATAAACATTAAAATAAAGGGAAATAAGGACACATTCAATTTGAATTTATGTATATAATAATATCTCGAAAACAATACATAGTATACCACCCGGAAGCATTTGAATCTTCTTTGTGCTATTCTTCAAATTGTTCAATTTGAATGGTTTTATAGCATTCGGTGACAGCAAGCAATGGATTCGTACAGCGGCAATATCCTGCGTTGACGTTTGGTGCGGACAAGCTGGTTACGCGGCTGCATTTGACGGCGAAATGGTGTACGACGCTCTGAAAACGGGTTCGCCAGTTTTAAGAGCCTCTCTATTCCAGTGGATGTCGGAGAAGCTACCTAATTGTAAGTTTATTACTATTAACATTTATCGATATATGTATATAAATTAAAAATCGACTTTAGATTGCAACATTTTACAACACGGGCAGGTCAAAGTTTTTCCGCTAAGCATAAGACATTCGATCTTAATATTCAATTGTTAAGGTTGAAATTACAATGCGCAAGAAGTAAGGTATCATTAGGTCGACGATGACGTGTAGGACGCGGTAGTTTCATTGATTAGAACAACAGCACGGAACGTTGTGGATGCCGGTTCAAGTCCTGCCTGTGTCGTAATTTTTTTTCAATCTTAAATCGATTTAAAAAAAAATCTGGCTTTAATGGGTACAAAAACAAATTTCACCGAGAACATTTAACAAAGCTATTTCATGTTTATAACTACGATTTCTTTACTTTCAAAACCTTATAATTTTTCTAAACTTAAGTAAAATAGTATATAGCAGTAAATAGTACACATTTTTAAAAGTGCAACATGTGCATTTTTATCTCAACAGGTGGGAATCATATCCGCCAAAGGCGTTTGAAATTAATTCAGTAGAAATAAACTATTATTATAACGTTTCCTTGTGTAGTGCCTCCAAAAGCATTTCCACGCGAAGAACTGACAGTGTGCGTGCCAATACTATTCGCGTGTTTGGAAGACCGCGCCGCCGATGTTCGAAAAGCGTCAGCTGAATGCGTTCTGCCCTTCATGCTGCATCTTGGCTACGAACCAATGCACAAACAACTGGATAAACTAAAGGTATGCCCATATTAGCTTTATTAATACATACTTTCAATATGTTTCATCAAATATATATCTAGAATAATTATTGAAGTTATTAATTGTATAAAGCTGTCGTGGTTATTTTGTAAAGGTATTTTTCAAGGGCTTTCAAGGTTAGGCCGACGAAATGTAAAGGAAAATGTGCAGAGATTTCATTTGAAAAAAAAAAATAACTTGTGAAACTTATTTAGCTTGCATATGCCTAGTTATGCCTATATATGTTTACATTTAGCTATATGTATTTCTAATTTATCCTTCCCTTAAATATTATATTTTCCAATTGTTATCATATAAAGGCGTTCTTTGATATGTTTTTACTGATACAAAATTTTACTATGTTGCAAACCTTGCTTAGTCATCTTACACATTTCAACGTCTTTCTACTCAAGAATAAACTCTTAAATACTAATTAAAATATTCTAAATGTTTGTTTTTGTTTGAAACAATATTTTTTTTATATTTAGCCCGGATCTAAGTCAGTGGTACAAGCAGCACTTGACAAAGCTCGACCAAATCTACCCGTTCAGCCATTGCCGACCAAAGACAAAGGAAAGAGTGAGCCTCGCGGTATTAAATCAGCCGGAGCTGCAAAGAAGGAAGCTGAAAAGAAGGGCCCAGTCGTTAAACCAAAGGTAAAATTTTTAGAATCATGATTACCGAATTTTTAGTATAAAACCCTTCAAACAGACTGACAAATAGTGTCGTATTATTTTATAAATCCCTATATTAAAGAAGTATGAGATTCAAGGTATGTATTATAGATGTTAAATTGTTGAAATGTATATTTATTTTAAGGGAATTGCAAAACCAGCATCAGCGGCGGGTCGTGGTAAGAAAGAGGAAGAAGATTGTACTCCTCTTCTGCCTAACAACAATGCGAAGAACCAGAGGATTGTTGATGATCAGAAATTAAAGGGTAAGATTATATGCTGTTTATTGTACGTCTTAACTGTTCTTATCTCGAGTACACACGGTAATACTACGTGAAAGGGAAATAATAACGTTCAATGTGGATATTTAATTTTTAAAGTGTTTTAAATGTTACTCATAGAAAATATTGTCAGCAGAACTAATTATTATATTCATATTTTCAGTATTGAAGTGGAACTTTACAACTCCCCGAGAGGAGTTCTTTGATCTCCTCAAAGATCAAATGAACAGTGCAGGATTGAACAAGCAACTTATTGCTAACATGTTCCACAATGACTTTAGGTAAGATTGTTAACATTATTGTTTATCAATATACAACAAACAAATATTTTATTTTTAATAAAACTTATAAAAACAAATTATTGTAAAACAGGTATCATCTGAAAGCAATTGAGTCTCTCTCAGAAGACCTCCATGAAAATGGTTCTTCCCTGACAGCCAACCTTGATCTAGTCTTAAAATGGTTAACACTGAGGTTCTTTGATACAAACCCATCTGTCATTCTAAAGGGTCTGGAGTATCTTAGTCAAGTGTTCCAATATCTTATAGACAGTGACTATACAATGGCTGAATACGAGGCTAACTGTTTCATACCCTATTTGGTTTTGAAGGTGAGATTTATATATTTTCTAAATAAGGACAGTAACAATATTTGTATGGCATATACAGGTTGGAGATTTCTTAAATTGCAACATAATCATATTTTAAACTTACAGGTTGGAGATCCAAAGGATACAGTGCGAAATGGCGTTAAGGCTCTCTTCAGACAGATTTGCGTGGTGTATTCTGTGACAAAACTTTTTGGATACTTAATGGAGGGCCTTAAGTCTAAGAACGCGAGGCAACGAGCTGGTAAGGATATACACACTACTTATTTCATTTACGTTCAATTCGAATATTCGTGGTCATGGTCAGAGACAATGGCTGCTGAAAAGCAAAATATTTCGCGTTTTTAAACCGTTGAAGTGTTTCGTTTAAAACCCTGAGTAGTAAACAGTTAACTCAGGTCATTTTCGTCTACGGTCCAACTTATAAATTTGTTATCTTTTCAGAGTGCTTGGAGTGCATTAATCACCTCTTAGAAACCTACGGATCGACGGTAATGTCTGGTGGTGGAGGGGGCGCTGCCCTACGAGAGATGGCGCGACTCATTGGCGACAGAGACAATGCAGTGCGCTCGGCTGCGCTTAATTGCGTCGCCACAGCGTACTTCCTCGATGGAGAGAAAATATATAAGACTATTGGACAGGTAACAATTTCTTTTAAAATCGAAAATAAATTGAAAAAATTTTCGGCTCGGGCACGACTTGAACCGGCATCGTCAGCGTTCCGTGCTGTTGCTGTGGTTCAAGCTGGCCGGTTAAAGTCATGCTCGAGTCGAGAATTGTTTTAATTTATTTTTTATTTTTAAATTATATAGTTCTTTCATGTGCAATAACATATAAAAAAAAAAAGTTTTCAAACATTTTCTTTTTTACATATATTTTAAAAGTAGATGAAGACGCACAAGCCTGGCATTCACTGGTAGTGAAATACCCCAACCATATAACATTTAAACAACTCTGTTGGCCTATTTTGGCTTTGGATATTCGGAAATACATATATAATTAACACTATTATATTTGCTTTATAAGTTACTACTACATTACGTTTTACTTTATATGGAATACTTTTCTCTAACAATGAAAAGGAACATTGTATTTATTGCTCTAAAAACTATTTTTGAACCGGACTATAACGATAACAGAAGATATTATCGTTATATTTAAATGAGTAAATACGATATGGTAGCAGTATGTTATACATACGGAAAAATCTATGACGCAGTTTACAAGCTGAAAAACTTGTTGGAGATTGTACCCTATTATTACTTTGTTACCGTCGAAATTATCGTAATAACATTTTTGCAGATATCTGACAAAGATCTTTCACTGCTAGAAGAGAGGATCAAACGAGCCGGCAAGACGCGCAGCGCGGAAGTGCGGAGATCTATGGTTGTCCCTCTTTCTGCTTGCGGAAGACCCATACTTCAACAACCGGAGGTAATGGAACTCTTTGGAGATAGAAGAAAGTCTACCTTTGTAACATATTAATATGAGTGCTGAAAGAATTACCTTTATTATATATTAAAAGAAACTAAGGTTATATTGGTTTTATTACACAGGAGGTTGAAAATGTAATCAGCGTTGAAACAACACCTGGAGTTGATTATGAAGAGGAAGAACCAGAGGAGCAACTTCCACCGCCTGTCATTCAGTGAGGCTTACTTTCTCTTCTATCAAAAGCGCGTAGTTTAATTTTCCTGTTTTTGTAATTTTTATTTTATTTTTACATTGTCTGTCATATTAGTGCTAAGTTAAAAGCTTTTTGTGTAATACATATCGTTCTGTTTATAATTAAAATATTATAATTATTAATAAGCAAGAGACAATAATCATATTTTATTTTATTACAGCCACGAAGAACCACGGGTCGTGACGGGTCCTTTTGGTCTAGACCCGGACCTGATAGCTCGCTTGGACGCAGCGAAACCGGTTTTGCGGAAGCCGGAATTGTCCGATGTTGATTTAAAATTTCTGGATGATCCTGTCAAAGTGTTGACTACTACGCGTACAAACAGGTAATATTACCTAAAACGAAATGAGCCTAAAATTATATACTCTCCATTCTTAGTTTAAACAGTGTCGTCATATTTTATTCTCACCGACTTACTGTTTGGCTGACCGTTTATGTAACTAAACGGCTAAAGGTGTTGCCTATCGTCTAGCACGAGGATCCTAGGTTCGAATCCCGGGGAAGCAATAGGTCAGATCGGGCATAGAAGTCTGATCAATTACTCTTCTGTAAATAAGTGAACAGTCGGAGAGCCTTTTATAGATAACACATGAAAAGATTTGCATAACATACGGCTGTTTTATTTGTTTAAAAGTATTTGTAATCAATTTTAAATTGCCTATTTTTTGTGCTGTAGTTCTGTGGTCACCATGTCCCCACCTCGACCGCAGCCGACTCCCCATCCACTAGTATCTGCGCAGACGCCGCTCAGCACAAACACGGTGGACGATTCGCAGCTCGCGGACACTATACACTCCGTCGCAAGTCCAGACTTAAATGTTAGTTACAGTCGTTCTTTTTATAAAAATTATCAGAGAAGCTGAAATTGAACCATATATTCATTGCTTTATTGCAGACAATATTGTTTGAAATGTTTGATTGTCTTAAAAGTCGTATGTTTATCGTTAAAGCGGTACTCGCATTGGTACAATATCTGAATTACATATATTATCATTGTAAGCCTGAAAATTTACTTTTTATTTTTCAGGCGGCTTTCAGAGCGCTGTCTCTTATAACAGGGGCATTAGTTTCCGGCCGCGGTGCAGCGTTTGCTGCGCATGAGGTTCGACTTATTTCCGCTTTCAGTACTCAACTGAGGCGCTTGCGCACTTCGCCACCATCAGAAAACACGATGCCAGCTTACAAATGTTTGGCGCGTGCACTTACTACGGTAAGATACATGGAAAGTCTTGATGAAAAGCGAAGAAGGAGAGATTATTTGTAATCTAAAAAGTTACTTAATGATGCAAGTCGTCCTTTCGTTCGGTCCTTTTAGAGTTCCGTAGTTAAACTTTTGCACTAAAATCTTTTTTGAGTTTGATTATACATATAATATTTATATATTTTTTTAATAACGTGCCGTAGTTAAATTAAATTATAGATAATTTAACAATATATATATATCGCGTTTTAAATCGTTATATGTATTTTATTAGAAAATTGAACAAGAATTGTTTGACAGGTTACACCTGTGTGGTATGTGAAGTTACCAATTTCAATTGACTTACTAAATCTTTAGTCATTTTAACATGCAAGCAGAAATTCTTACCTATGTGTTATATACAATACATTTTATTACAGAAATGTTAAATAAATATATATCTAAATTTTATTAATTATTCTTAATCTTGCCAGTTTTATGGCACATCGGGTTGCGGGTTACACATAACGGAAAGTGCGCTGCGGTCGCTGCTCGGCGAATTGTTACTAGTTCTGACTGGTGGACCCGGTGGAGCTGGCAACTCCTGGCCCGGTTCAGAGGGCGAGCGGCTAGTGCGCATATTGAATAATCTATGCGTGTGCGTACTAGAACACTCACCGCGTACGACATTGCTTTGGTAACTCGACTATTGCCATTTAAAACAATTATTCATACGTCATGCAAATTTTGTAAAGCTTTTTTTGTAGCCGTATAAAAAAATATGCAAGAGAAAAAGAGATCTTAAAAATATCCACTTATGATTTATATATGAACACAAATTAAGTAAAAAAAAAATAGTTTTATAATTAACCAAAAAACATAAATATGTTAGTAGTTACTTTATTGTTTCTCTAATGCCTTAAACTAGGGTGATTTGGTTCAACCAATATTAATGAACTCTTTAAATATCTGTAGATATGTTTTCCAAAAAAAATAGGCCTTTACTCATCAAAGTCAAAGTCTAAACACATACAACATATACATAAACAGTGTTATCCAAAGACTGCTGCACCTGTAAAAACATAATTAATTTCCAGTGCCATCTTATCGCTCCTACATGACACGATAACGGAATCAGATCCGGCATATCCACGTTATCAGGACCTGATGCTTAAATGCTTTTGGAAAATCCTCAAAATGATACCTTCCTGGGAAGTGAACTCAATTGACTACGATGCGGTACTGTACAAGATTCATTTGTTCTACAAAGCGTACCCTAACAGCTATTGGAAGAAGAATGCGCAAGTCAATGACACTCCATATAGGTAAATCAAATAAAGTAACAACTAAAAATATGTTTATTACTTTTATCTAAATTATATACATTTTAAAAATTTAATAAGGAATTAATTTTGTAATGATGATGGCGTGACTAATATAGCATAACACTAGTAAGTCTGTACCTATGCGAGTATTAAGCACTCTACCATATTCAAACGTATTAATTCTTTTTACCTGTAGATGACCCACAACATTTCAAAGAGAAATTTAAATACTACTTTGCATTATTTTATCGTGAAAAGTTTTTAATACTATTTACATAAATCCGTTCTCCCAATGTTTTACAGAACAGTGAAAACACTCGTACACACCTTGGTTAAGGTTAAGGGCGCCTCCATCATGAACCACTTAACTCAAATACCAGATGTCAACGACTCGGACTTATATCCTTACTTGCATAAAGTGTTGAAGGTATTGTATATATTTCAGTAGCATATCATTTAGATAAGTGTCTAAGTTAGAAAGATAACAATAATAATATTACATTATGTTTCAGCAATTAAATCTCGATGACAAAAAGGAAAAGCCATCAGACATCGTGAACGGCGGCCTACAAACCATGGGAGTTGGAGTGAATGTTGGCAACACTGCTCTAAACGCAGGGAGGTTGCCTCGATCCGTACACGAAGAGCTCGGGCTCATATTGAAGAGAATCGGTTCTAAGGAGCACAATAAGGAAGCACTATCTCAGTTATATGATTTGCGGGTGAGTGTTTTTTTACTAGGCAATTGTGACAAAATAAACCAAGTTTAACTGTTTAAAACAACTACAGTAGCAGTATTACTTTTACATTAGGGACACCCTCCATCCTCAATCCCCTCGTGACCAGAACTGCCGCAAAGCATCCGAAACGTCGGGCAGTAGTTATTTAAATAGTAAAAAATAAATTAACTGATACATTTCGTGTTATAAACAGTTAAAAGGAATTTTTCTCTGTACACTTGTAACTATAGACCTAACTATGACAACATTAATATAAAACTAATTTATATAATAAATGTAAAAAAGTTGTTGCATTATACAACTACAACGGACGTCCTTATATCCTCAACGTTATTTTATTAATAAGGAATCAGTGTTGCCACTTTACACGCGTAGCATACCTAATTATTTTGTTTGTTACTATCCTAAGGGCCATATATACGATATGATTTAAATAAATAAGTCAATTTTAGGAGCGCCACCCCGACGTAGATATCTGGACATTTATGGCTGGCTCATCTTTCTACTTCCGCAACTACGTCGAGTGCGGCTTGCGAGAAGTGGAAGAACAGAGAAAGATGCGCACACACAACATTTATAAACCCGACATTAAGCCGGAACATATTGGTAAGAACAGATTTATTAATTAACGTTTTTAATTTAATATAATGATAATATTTAAAACATTTCTAAACATTGTTTTACAGACGTAAGCAATGAAAACGATGAAAAATCCCACGTAGACTTCTTAGAGAGGCTTCGAGCGTTGCAGGTTTGTATACAATACAATTTTACCTAGTAAAATGTCATTTAGACAAGATTCAAATAATTTAGTTGAGATGTATTGATGCCATTGCTGCAGTAAAAAATTATAAAATACATTTTTATATCTTCTACAGATGAAAGCTGGCTTAAAAGTGGACTCAAACCCATCATCCCAACCTCGAACACCAGTCAATGATAATCGGGTTCTGGCTGATTCGATCAATGATAATACCTTGCCAAGGACACACAGTATTGACCCGCAACTAGAGGTGAGATATTAATATTTTAAGGTTTTTTATTTAAATGTTTAAATTTTAATATAAAAACGCAAAATAAATTAGCCTTTTCTTACTTGATGACTGACCGTTGAAAATGGTTTGTTTAAATGTTTATTACTTTCACAAACTACTACATTCAAACTCTCTTAATTTATTGAAAAGACAGAAAACAGGACCTTCATATAATTTTATACATTTATTTTCTATTTTCCAGCTACATTCAACTCAGTCCGCCTCACAGAAGAACGAAGCTGCGGTTGACGCGCTACGACTCAAACTGCAACAAATCAAAAGCTCCTCTAAGAGATAAAGCTCTCTCGCTCGCACACCGCATCTATCCTTCTCATCCGTGCGAAATACGAGATATACCTTTAAGACTCGAATAGACTATGATATATGCGAAATGTCACAGTTTATCTCGCACGATTTTGACATTAACACATTTTTATTCCCATTATTTATTATTTTGATTTTTTTTCGTTAGTACTTCTTAAATATTAATCTTGAATCAGCCCTGCAAACTTTCTCGCTTTTTAGTTCCTAATGTATGGTGACGTCCATAGTTTGTACCCGTAGATTAACGTGACAATATTAGGAAATGTCTTAGCAGGGTAAATGGGGTTGAATAATTCTTTCGAATCCGGTTAACAAAAGCATTATTTTTTGAGAGTCTATTGTGATTTTAAAAAGCGGTAAACCTTTTAATAGCTGCCAAAAAAAACGATGCAAATGCAGCGTAACGAATCAAAACATTTTCTTATCATACTTAATGTTGCACTGATTTAGGATTATTACGAACCGCGTGGTAAAATAATGTCATTTGAAATTTCGTGTGGTATTAAATATCTCATTAGTGTGGTCTCTTTAATCTACACTTTTAAAAACAGTCTACGCACGAACCATGACAAAAGTAAGAAGTGAATGTATAAATAATTGTTAATACCTGTGATAAAAATTCAACAACAATTGTTAGCTTGTTGTGGTTTTTTCGTGAAGTTTCGCTTAAATTTTATTTATACTGCGTTTGATTTGCCAATTTTTACTCTTGACTTTATTACTTGTCTAGTTTTACTATTGTTCTGTCTTAGTAGGGGAGATATGTTAAGCACTGGTTTGCACGTGTGTTTCGTGTGAAATTTGCCCCATTATTATGTACTTTTTTTGTCTATGCGTGAATTTATCGATCAGCTGGAAATTCTTGAATATTCAACTCGGTCATATTCTTTATAAATATGTAAGCCTAATAATTCAGCCAAAAATAATATATAAAAAAACTATAAGTTCATCTCTTAAGGGGGTGTTAATCATTAGACAGATTATCTTATGAAGCCATGATTGCCTCAAAAATCATCTACGTAGTTGGAATAGAAAGGATTTTACATGTGTCTATAAGTTCACGCTTACAATAGTGATGTATATTATGAGTAGTCGATTTGTCTTGGTAAAATTTGCTCGTAAACGTCCTAACTACGATAATCCCATTAGAGTAGTTATATTAATTTTTAAAACACCAACGTAGCTTTTATTGTATGAAAATCACGATTGGTACAATATATTTATTAATTATCAAATATAAATTGGCCGTCATATTCCATTACGTAAAAAGGACAACAACTGTATTTTATGCTAAGAAGGTTCAATATCTAACGTACCTGCTTCAAAATAGCTGGCCGTTTATATACCTACATTTATTACTACGACCATGTGTGAAAGAGAATACTCACTATGTTTAGGTCAGTCATCCAGTAGGTTTATTTGTAAACTTAGTAGCTGTCATGAGGCATTACCCATGATCATCTAACATTCATAAATTTACTAAAAATAGACCCGAACATTCCTTCAGTATTGGCGTTTGTAGAGTTATATTTCAGTTTTCTGTATTCTTCTGATATTTTAGAAATAGATGGCATCATCTCATAGTTTTGAAAGCCCATATATCTGACTCTCTTTTCTTTGAAGTTTACTGTAGTTTATAAGACACAGACTCTTGACGTCTGATACAATACACTTTCTGTTACTATCTTGTCTATTATGTTTGCCGTTATATATTTAATGAATGAATTTTAGATTTGACCTTAGAGATATGAATTTAACAGTATCTCAAAAACCTTGTTTTGTGTCGATAATATTTTCACTAATTATGACGTAAATATTGTTAGTGTTGTATTTAGAATTCTTTACATCAATGACAGTTTATTGATTACTACAGTTTGTCAGGCCTAATTATGTCCCATCTCTAACAATTAAACATTTCGGATTATAAAACTAAATTAATATAGTAGAATATTAACTACCTAATACATGGCTTGTAGTCAATCGAATAATGCCATTAGTCAAAATATTACTCACAATAAAACTAATTTTAATGACAAACACAAAATATACATATTGAGAGCTTTATATTTTCTAAGCATGTAGACTTTTGTTACTCTACTGAAATACTGTTAGATATAAAATTTATTTACAGTGATTGTGTTGAGTTGCCGTTTGCGACTTATTTACTTAGATTATAATTGTGAGCATTTATTTGTTTTATCTAACGTAATAAGATCATGATTTATGTAATATTATTAATTATTAACCAAATAAAAATTCATACAACACTAAAAAGTTTTTTAATTTGAAAATGAGCTTATCTTTTACACACCTGGTACATAATATATGGTACATGGCCTATTGTAAAAAAAAGCTCCAAACTATCCTCGGAAATCGCAAATGAAGAATACTTGGCCACAGTTACAGTTTTAAATTACCTCTGTGGTTAGGGAAACGATTCGATCGATCGAGATCCGATTATTTATAATCGATGGCAAAATATATTGTACCCTATTTTCTATATTCTTGTTAAGATCAATCTAATGTTACATTTCGTTATCGTTGAAATAGAGATAAAAAACTGATTATGGTAACAGAGAAAATCAAATTACTGCAATATCGCACATAGACAATGTAAATTGTAACATAGACAATTCGGAATGAAAGTTCGCTTTCCGCCACATGTCCGCCATAATATCCAATATCTGCTACATTTTCCTCTAATACTGACGTTGATTATTATTTCTTATTAGGTAGAAGTGTTGTGTAATATTTTGTTGTTAATTTAATTAATTTTTAGTTTGTTTTTCATACGGTGAGTTTAGTTTAAAGTTGTTTAAGCCACGTTAGTCATTTTTACATGTAAACGTTTTAGCCGCGACTTACTGTGTCTTACAATGTGTCATTGCATATTTTTAATTTGTTATGTCTGATTATTGAAAAATACTGAATGCTTTTGTCTATTGCAATACTTGTCAGGTTCAGTATTCTCCTAGTGTGATTGTAGTATTTACTAGTGTAACAGAGTTATTTCTGTTTAGACACTGGCTGCGAAATATTAGGATGGAGTCGCCGAGAAAATTCAACGACTGTTATTTCTATTACTATTCTACTTGCACTAAGGTATGTCAATTCCTCAATGCATGTGTATCATTCTCAATATCTATTTAAAATTTTCGTGTAGTCATATAGTTTTAGACTTATCCAAAATTTATATACGTAATTTGAAATGAAATTTTTGAACATAGATTTTCGGTTTCATTTCTTGTATCCTCTTTTATCAGTTAATAAATTGTAACGTGTTTAAATCTTATCTATATTTACTGTGCTTATTGATATGCATAATTGTGTTGGGAAAAACCGAAACTTGGATGCTAAATTTAATTTATAGGGTGACAACTGTGTGTTTCGACATGAGCCGTCAGCTCTTGGTTGCGAAACTATGTGTCCGGCATGGCAGCAAGGAAAATGTACAGACAAGCACTGCAAATTGAGACACATGGAATTAAGGGTATGCTTGACACTTTCTTTATTGTTGTTCATCTAGACTTTCATTTATTAACCAGTACAGTATCAGTATCAAGTATCAGTAACTGTACATGTTCATATAGAACCTACTTAGCTTTTTTAAAAACCCCAGGGATGCGGACTTTATTTCTCTAGAACCCTCTTAAAAAATACCAATTTTTATTAAGAACTGACTAATTAAGCCGAAGATAGTACTTTCAATGTTCTTAGTTTTACAGTCAAGTATAAGTCTCTTCTTGTTATATATGCATTTATAACAAAAAGTAGTTAAAGTATACATGTTACATTATTGTACATTGAAATTATAGTAAATTCTGGCATTTACCAAATAACAAAACTTCTTTTTCTATAAGGATAAAATATCTCGAACTTATAGTCATTACCTAAATATTTTTGTCAATGAGTGGCAAATATGTTTTTGCTCTTGTGTGTTTTGTGGATAGCAAAAAAGGCGGATATTAACCTTTTAGCTAGTCACTTAGGAACATTTTGGTGTTTTTAAGTGACTACCTAATCTAATACCTTTCGTCTGTCACAGAGCACAATATTATGAAAATATATATACTTCACAGAAAAATCGTAAGCAAATCCCTTGTTATTGGGAGAACCAGCCAGGTGGATGTCGCAAGAAGCACTGTCCTTTTATGCACAAAAATCCAGATGCTCGCACTGATGGAATTGCCCCAAGTCAGCCTGGGCCACCTATTGCTACTGTATGTATAACTTGATCCCATAACCTTAAATTTATAGTTATATAATAGGTCACTAACATTATTGACGGTCCTTTAAAGTCAAAACTTAGACTCTTTGCCTTACTTAATATTTTTGCTTTATCTAAAACATCATTAAATTGTCAGTGTATATTCAGATTATCTGTCATAACAAATAAAGGAATTGTTCTGATCAGCATAATTCTTAATTGTGGCTCATAAAGGGATTACTTAGTTTCTTTAGATTTACAGTTAAGCGTATTTTAGAACACTTTATAGCTCCAAAGTTAAGCTTTCCTTCACTGATATTTATTGGAATTCTAGAATTAAACTAAATCTGTTACTATACAGAGCCCTGCCACCAGCAGCATACCCGAGGCCAGTGCTGAACAGGCTCTGACTGGAGTTCCAACACCCAATGTACCACCACCAGCTTCTGTACCACTTTTATGGCAACAACGACAGGGTGAGAATAATTTGACTATTATGTCTACGATATGTGTACTTAGAGATAAAACATTATTTAAAATTAAATTAAAGGACTGTGCTATTTTCAACATCCTAATCCTTTTATGATTTCAATATTTTTTTATTTTCCTATTATAATGTTCTATATTATTTTTGGTAATTACTTATTAATAACGCTTTCAGTAGTCCTAGACTCTGCGATCCTCGGAGTGCTGCCTGCGTCCACCGACCTGCTAGGCGGGCGCCGCGTTGTGACTCACGCCCATGCTCACGCGCATGCCCACCCACATCCACATGGCGTCGCTCATGGCCCACACGAACCCACATACGCCCCCCTCCCTGTCGATCCACTCGTCGTCAACTTTGAAGAAGGTATGCGGCTTTATTGAAACTACCCTCGGTGAGACTTGGACAATTTGCGATATCCGCTTCCCAATGCTAATCGATTTTATTTTAGGCGCTAGCCAGTACCATTTCCTAACTACTTATGTTTAACTCTGTTGCGCATGCGCATAGTACTATTCTACTTGCTAATATGGAAGTGGGGGAGGAAAATAATATGGAAAAAATTGCAGGTGTAGGTAATGTATTGGTAACTTCAAAACACTGTTTACTGTACAATTATGTAAAGTAAGCCACTGGCATTTTATCATTGGGCTATCCTCTCCCTAGGTGTAGCCTTTGCTATCCTATAGTAGATTTATATATTAACACACAGTTTTCTGTAACAATTTTAGTAAATAGCGTTTCATCAAACTTTTTACGGTCTCACATCAACTTAAAAATATTGTCGATACAATTTTAAATTAATATTAAATAGCTTTAGATGGCAAGCTCTATGCAATTACAGCAAATTGTTCAAGGCTCGACGTTACGAGACATGGTAACAGTCAAAACTCACCTTTATATAGTTTTTCTTTATTAGTAATTCGCAGTTGCGTCGGGTAATTTTGACTATAAAAAAAACTATAAAGATACTGCTGTCACTCGAACGATTGTATGGAAAGTTTGATGTTAAGCAGCATTTCAAGGTTACCCGAAGGCGCTGCTGTTCATTAAAAGTCACCTACACGTGTACTCAATACATCTCTATGATACACGAAAAAAATCCGTATTGTATGCGTGAGCTCATAGATAAGAAAATTAACTTTGTAAGAAATGCTCACCTACTAATATCGCTTACGTTCAAATTTCAGTGGTTTTGTGATAAATTATGTCTGTTTGGGTACAACATTGCATGTGTTTTTATTACTAGAAAGAATGAAGGTATCTTATTGATATATCGAATTTATACATTAAAACTATAAAGTTACCCAAACTTTATTTTAAATCAACTGATACAAAGCAATGTTGAAGATTAATTTATCACACTTCACTTATAACTATAACTAGAGGTAATATTTATTTAACACATTGTTTATCATTATTTCATATTTTATAGATTATAAACGCTAACGACCGCACTGATAGACATTCAAACGTTTATTAAACAACGATTTTGAAAAGAAAATTGTTTTTTAGTATCGATATATTCGAGTCTACACGATCTATAAGTGCGGCCGCGAGAGGGCAAAGATTAAGATAAAGAACGTGTTTAATTTAGTTTTTGTGCATAATACGTAAATTGGCATCATACGCCCTAATTATAGAAATCCATGAAATATATTTTTTTCCTACATGGATTCGTAATTTTGCCAGTTATTTTTACGAGTTTTTTTTTAATTTAAAGTAAATATTTATTTCACCTTCGTATAACATTAGATAATTTCTAGCCAAGAACGGCAGCGTTTTGTTTTAAGAAGTATAATTTTATTTCGGTTTACATAATATAGCGTTTAGCTCTCTGAATCCGACCGCTTTAAATCAACGAGGTTCGGTATTTTTGTATGTGCAATAATTTAGAGAAACGTTTCTCGTTCATATCTTAGCTAATTATATCTATTAGATGAATATATTAAATCGCTTTTTCATTTCTAGATTTAATGTTACGCGCACGCGTTTCAAATGCGCTGTGGTAATGCGCAGGTCGTTTGAAATGCAGTGACATCTCTGTACGCTCCAAGTAGAGTATAAATCACGAGAAACATTTTAAAGGGCAAAGCAAAAGAGATTCAGTGCATAATAAATATTATAAGTATAAAAAAAACCGAAAGAAACGGTATAAAGGTATCTAATGAATTTAAGAATAATTCTAATGATATTCTTTTTCTCATTTAGCCTTCAGATAAATGTTTGGTGAAATACACTCTACTTCTAGCTAACAGACTTAGACCTCGATGTAATCCTTGTCTAATCCAAGTACATAGCCATAGGTTAATTAAAAAATAAAAATATATATACACAATACTGTAACTCATTAATTTTAGGTGAAATCAAGAAAATGAAAAAAAAAGTAATGCTTGATGCGTTTAAAATTGTACGTCTAGAGAAACTAAGGCGTTTGCGTCTTCTTATAAAGTCTATATATTTCGCACCGAGCGTTAGCTAGACCCAATTTTATCAAGAGGCAATGACATCCAATAAATTAGTTAACGTTGGTAAAAATTGACGTACCGTCAACTTTAATCAGTGTCATTGTTTCGTGGTGAAATTAGATCTTAAGTAGATAGATGCGTGTAGTCGGCACAGTACTGAAACCGACCTGGTCGCTTTGGCACTGTGGCGCTTACGCGAGATTAAATTCTCGTGCTTAAAAAATGTATTACCGGGTTTAGAGGAATGTTAGGTATTAGATAATGCTAGGGCGTTCGCTCGGCGAATTACAATTTACAGCGCGAAAGCTGAGCGCTGAATTCGCTATCGAGGTGCTGCTAGTCGCTAGATCCTACGATCTTGGTATTGTTTTTGAATATGTAATCCAGTTTCAGAAATATATTCTTTGTTAGCCATAACGACTGCCACTAACGCCTATATGACTTTAAGAATATCTGGCTGTTAATTCCGGCTAAAGAGAGACAGACAAAAGTGGAAAAACGATGTGTTTTGTGAATTTTTTTGATTTTCCTTCAGCGCTCAGCTTTGGTGCCGCAATATATATATACTAAACAGCACCGTAGTCTGATTAGCCAATAAATCGTCTCATTGATAATATTTTGTTTTGCACTGACAGCAAAGTTCCTATATATCAGTTCGAAACAGAATGGTTGTAAAATGGAAATTAAACGATTAGTTTGGGTCCACGGTACGCCTAGTCATTATATTATTTATTTTAAACATATTTAATGGATTAGTTTTAATCGGTGGAGGGTAGATAGATGTGTGGAAATTTTTTACTTTTAATAAAAATAGGAATCAAATTGAAGTGTATAGTTATATACGATATGTTGTTTTTTTTTTCATTGTTTTTTTAAAGGTTTGGCATAGATTCTTATTTGGGATCGACGTTACGTAAAGTAGTTTTTTTTATGACATCACCTTGGTGTTCAAAAAACCTACACTAGATCACGCTTGCATGATTATTTGTCGGTTCACATAAGAATCTGTACCGATTAAAAATTAAATCTGATTTGAGTACAAACATCATGCGGCTCATTTTTTTTTCGTACCTGTCTAGACTTATGTTACAGGTTTATCTTGTCAAGGCTCACCGCAAACATGCGCTAACTAATTTGATGCGATATATTACAGCTGTAGCGTGTTTGCGAGAGCCTATAATTCGATTTATAGGCGTTCCTCAATTGTGGAATGGGAAGACTGCTTTTTGTAATTCATTTGGATGTTTTAAATCGTCGCGTGTACGACACTCACTAAATTATTTAACAATAGAGTTTCATTTGTATCATAGTTTTAAGATTTTCTATCGAGAAGCATTAGGAGTTTTTCATGTATGTACTTTACGCGATGGTATTGAGTATGTTTTGCTACATCAGTCAATATTTTAACTTGTATGAGATATAGTGATTTTTTATATATCAATGTGTCGTGGGAAGTTCTAAAGATGGTCTGCCTCATTTTCATGTTTATGAAGCAATAAGAATTTAGTTGTCTATGTGTAGACTCGTCCAGAACTATCTATGCCTTCGTTCACTTAGTACAAGTAGAGAGATATCTTATGTTATTCTTTGGGGGTTTCGGACATTTAGCTTCCATCGGGGTCCGATAACCCCAGTTTCTTGTTTAATTCATAGAGTCGTTGTTATTTTAATATTAGCATTACAATTGTAAGAGTTTCTTTAATATTAGGAGGGCGTGTATCGAGCACTTTGTTTGAACTAACAGTTATCCTCGGATGTACTCTGGCTTTGTTTTCTAACGAAATTGTGTTAATTTACCGCAAAACAAGCAAATAAATACGTTTCGTATTATGATTTTTGTAATTATTTTTGACCGTCCACCCCTCAGTCAGTTTCAGATGCGAAAGGACACACCAAGTGACGTGGTCGTTTCAAAATTAATTACGAAAATCATTTTGCGTCTAGAGAACGTCCACTCACAGTCGCTTGGTGTGTTCTTGCAGAGTCTGACAACGAGAGCGCGCCGTCGTCCACTCCCACCAAGGCGGAAGTTGTACCAGACAACCACGACGACCCCAGCAAAATAGCCAGAACAAAATCCCAAGAGCTCCTACTCCTAGAGAAAATACAAGCTGAAGCGGCAGCCTTCTATAATTATGATGCACTACCGCTAGCAGATGCAGCAAAAGACCGCAAAATTGTTCGGACCAATCTTGCCACAAAGTACGATAGGTTGACCCTAGACGAAATAGCAGGCAAGCAACCGGTCACCGAGCGAAGAAACTCCTTAGATTTCAAGGTTCTCTCTTTAGACGAAATCAGGGCTAGAAAGAAGGTGTCCGAAACAATAATACATTCGACGCCTATTACACTAAATTTAAATAGAAAAAGAAAGCTCTCTACGCAGGAGACGATAACGACGGCTGGTAACAAAATAATTAAAGTAGTTAGGAGTAATTCGATAGTTTATAAGAAAGTAGATAAAAATGCGCCGGCGCAACCGAGTCAAGCTAAAATGGATGTCAAAAAGACTGAAGAAGTCAGTAGAAAGAGAACGCTATCAGAACATAGCGATATATACGAAATGCAGGAAGATGAGCTCGTAGATAATTGTTACGAGTTTAAACGGATAAAAATTGGCGAACATACTTCCAAACCTCGCCTCATCAGAAGTAGGAGCGCGAATAAATCGATTAGCGAGAGTAACGTAGATGACACCAAAGACCAAGATTCTGATACTGACGTGCAATTTGTTAGTCTTGATATTTCAGACGATAAAACCTGTGATAGCGATGTAATAGATGTTGAAACTGCTAACATGGGCGAACCTGTGGATGTAGTTGACCTATGCGACGACCAGGAAGACACAGAAATTACTGTGGCAGACCTAGAATTAGATTTTGTTAAGAACGTCCCGGATGTAGTCGCTAGTTGTCATAAAAATATTAATGATAAAGACATAATTAACGATATAGATTCAATATTGAATGAAGAGTTATGATCGTAACATGTGATTAGTTGGGTCAGAAATTAAAAACTGCGCCTTATTAGGTTAATTAAATACGAAAGCTTGCCTTTTGGCGTGAGTGTTGAGTTAGTATGAGCGATCTCAGAGGTTCTTAGATAATATTCGCAAATATTTTGTTGTTCTTAGCTTAAATTTTGTTATCACGTGTTGACCGTTGAAATTATGGCTACTGTCAGTAACCAGCGAGACTTTGTTAGATGTTTGAATGTATCAGTCTGCTCCTACAACCAATGTGGGACAAATCGTTTATATTCGAAAATCTTTTGATTTCCTAGTTTTTATTTTAAATAATTGGACAAACAATCTGACTGCACAAAGGTTATATTTAGGTTATAATTTAATTTAGGGACGGTAGTTGATGAGTTGTTTTGAAATTTGATGGCCGATGATACGATATTTCACTTAAAAGTCGAGTTTTGAAACAATACTTACTTTTTAAAGTTTCTATATTAAGCATCTCCATATCGCATACAAAAAGTCGTTCTGATCGCCAGGTAATTAAAATGAAGGCGATGGTTTCTTAGGTAAACTAAATTTGATAACCGAAATTACAAAGTACAAAATAAATAAGTTTAGTATTTAATGACTATGTAAGTTTTTGCTACATTATTACTAAGATCTTCGATATTATTTTATGGTAGCGTCGAAAAATATCATTTTGACTTCTTTATGTAGAACTTATATTCAGCGAGCAGTTTGTAAACTTACATTTCTTATAAATTTGTGTTCAGACACGAAAAATACGTTAGCGAAAACTCCTTATTTGGGTTTCGGATTTGTTTATTGTTCATTAGTTTTTTGCCGTATTGGTGATGTTATTAAAATATGATTCTATTTACTGTTTCAAATAATAGGGGCACGTGTGTTCTGCCTTCAAGTTTTGTTTTTAAAACTACCTACCTATGACTAGGTAAAACATGGTTAAACTGCAACATTCACTGTAGAAAACTGAGCTTTAATTTACGTATAAATTATATTACGTAAGAATTTGATGCATATGATGAAGTTTTATTTTGATTCCTCTCATCATGAATTCTAATTTTCATATTTTGTCTTTGTTTTTTTTTTATGAAAGAGGATATTCGTGTCTGGTAAAAATTAATAATAGAGTAAAATCACCAAGTACGTAGTAAAAATTACAACTTTATTAGTTTAATTGAGATTAGTTTAAGTAGTACAGATGTCTAGCTTCTTTTCAATATAATTTCAGGAATATAAATAAAGAACACAGAGATCCTCCAAAAATGTAATATTATTAATAAAACGTTTTCGACATCACACAATTATTCACATTATCATAAATATCTAGTTTACAATTAATAAATTCGAAATTAATTACCTAAATAATTGATTTTTGTACACTATCTTAATGGACTTACTAGTTGTGGCGAGAAGCTTACGCTCTTGGTGCTTAGTACCTACTCTTGTTAACTTCATAGTTTATGGACTCTGTGATTTATTAAAATGGTGTAACTATAATCTGTGGATGTTCTGAGATCTATGCCTTATCTATTTTGTTAAATACCATGTAATTATTATTTATAGTTAGTTAAAACGATACAGATTTGTCCACTTGACCAATGACACGGGAATACTTGAATATCAAAGTTTATTGACATCGGTAGCAACTAATTCCATTTAATTTTACATAGAAATACAAGTACCTACCTATTAACAGTTTTTTACATCGAACTATCAAGAGATTGTAAGTCTATGTACAAATTTATAGATGGCGACACCATCGTACCAGACAAAGAACAGCATAGCACTGGTCCAAAAAATTAAGCAATTATTATTTTTATTCTATAGATGCCTAATCTTTGCATTACATAGTTACTTACAGAATAAATAAAACAGCTACATTTGAAATAACATAAAAATGGAGTCCGGTACCCGCTATTTACCTAGTAAATGTTATTTTACATAAGTACAATTTGAGACATATTTTGTGCTCACATTTTGTGTCATCTACTAGATATGTAAATTCTTTATACTGTGGATAATACATTCAGTACAGGGCCGGATTCAGACGAGGGGCCCTGTATATTCGATAATTTATAATGTGCGCTTGTGGGTGTTTTGTGACTGAATTTTTGGTAAATAAGATAAACACTATCAATACAACACATCTGAAGACATAATTAAGCACAACTTGGAAAGCTTTACATTAATTTTATTATTCACAAAAATGACGAGGAGTTAGCATACACAACAATAATATTATAAAGCGACAATGATTACATTTGAATCATGATGAAAAACTATTATTTAAAATGGAATTCGACGCTTTCTAATAAAATAATTACGGTCAAGCATTCAAGTAACTTGAAGACTAAACGAACATAATAATTATATTAAACACATCGTTTACATGGATTGAGATAAATAATTATTCTTACTTTGGCGTCGAAGTACTGAATTAGGTAAGCTGACTTGTAAAAAGTTTTATTCAATAAGGATTTGAAGACAATCAAATTAGCGCCAAGAAATGTTTTTATTTATAGTGTGCGCGTGGATTTCCTTTGGCAATTTCATCTGATTCTGAGGCAGGGTGTAGTTAGTTGTGCCATGTGTATGTCTAATTCCACCAGGGTCACTGTAGACGAGACCAGTACTGCTGCGAATCTTGACCTGGAACTGCTAAAGGTACCGATACCCCCGCGCCAAGGAGACCACCTAATTCTGTAAATAGATTGGTTTGTTATGAACGGAAGTATTCTATCTAAAAAAATATATTTGTTGACTAGTCGGGCCGTATTTTGGTCTGTGAAATGTAATCTAATATTCTGCTATTAAGTGTGACCGCGCGGTTACAAATATAATAATATATATAATATAATATATTTATAATAAAAATTGTTCAATTCAGAACCGAAGCGGCCTATTGACTTTTCTACAAGTGTAAGGATCAATGGTTTCACTACCAACTCTGATAGAGCATAGACATTTTATTTTAAAGTTCTTAATATATATAAAGTTTGACCATAAATATTTTAACAAAGTAAATGATATTTTGTCTCCCCTAATCAACCCACACGTCTATCTATAAATAGTCCCCCTTTCTATGAATATAACTATCGTATACGTCCTTAACGCGTCGCCCCATGATATTTTTGTTTATAGAAATACTATAATAATATGAATTTGCTTACTTTGGTAAAAACGTTAAGATTGTATAAATTGGAAATATATTGAAGTCTTTTAATCTTACTTCAATATATTTTCAATTAAAAAACCTCAAGTACAGTCATCAAACTGCCATGTTTATTATCATATAAAATTATTATCTATAGTGTTATACCTATAAACTTTAATGTATAGTATAGAATATACCTGGAGGCGGCGATGCTGGTTCATGCTGGTAGCCATGGTTGACATAGGGATGGGGCTGCCGATATCCAAGCTCGTACCGAGGATATCCAAGGAATCCGCTCTTGCATAGATCAGCTTCACTGCCTTCACACAACGATGCGTCTGATACCATACCACTGCTTGCACCGTAGCCCATGGGTGTTAGAGGACTGAGAAATAAAGTTTTTTTTAAGCTAAAATATTGTAATGTATCTAATTAATTTATTATAAAAGTATGTATAATTTAAAAATTAGTAAACATTTTAATTACTATTTTTTTACGTTTCTGTGATATATCAAGAATTGCGTGACGATTCCTTAAATCGTTTTAATTGTTGTTTGGCTTATTAAGAAAATCGACGAAAGGATTTTTTCATCATGTTAGGTAAGTTATATGGAATCTTATAATGAGGCCGCTAGAGGCAGAGTGGTTTTACTGCAATTTTATGGCTTAAATTATTTATATTTTCAGAGTCTAAAAATGATAATCTACAAGAACAAAGTGACCAAATATTGTAAACATACTTTTTACACAAATAATTTTTTGTGCATTTTTATATTTCTTATCATGGAATCATGTTTTTTGTTGCCACTCTGCTCTAGCTAGAATTTAGTCTTACTATTGCAGAATGTTTACCTGTAAGTATCAACGTTGACAGGCGGCTGATACGGCGTGTGGTGGGTGTGGTGGTGCGGCGCGGGCGCGGGGGGCAGCGGTGGCGGCGCCGGCTGCGCGGGAGCTGGGGCCCCGTAGCACTCGGGGCTCCGGCGTTGGCTGCGGATCTTCTCCTCGCGACGCCACTTCGCGCGGCGATTCGAGAACCACACCTTAAGTTCGGGTTAGGTTAACAACACGCGCGACGCGGACTAACTTTTAGTTTTAAACCATTCGCGTTAAAAATTTAAATTATTTTGTTAACATTGGATTATAGTTAGTCGAAATGGAGCTAAAGCAATTGTAGTTTTATACTGATGTGCGTACTAGTTGTTTAATTTAAAGAAGGAAGAAAAGCATAAGCAATACCTTTTATATTTTATAAAGGCGATAATATGTAAATAGCAAAAAACGTAGGCAAATTAATTTGAGATATATGTACATATATCCAGGCTATCCTGAGGGTTAAAGGAAATGATTACGATAGTGATTATGAGGACATGTATTTTGACTAAGTTTCTTATTGCAAAGTACAAAGCAAAGAAACGTCTAGCCTAGCAGCTTACCTGTATCCTAGCTTCAGGAAGGCCAATTTTAGCTGCGAGTCTTTCTCTCGCGAATACATCGGGGTAGTGGGTTCTTTCGAATTCTAAGACAAAATAAAGACACTCCTATTAAATTATTGATGATCACAGTTGTCGAAGGCTTCTTGTCGAAGAATTATTACTTGAAATACAATGTTCTAAAATTGATTGCCTCCGTTAGTAAGCGTTCCTGGGTTCGAATCACAGGAAAACAATAGATTATTTCGTTCGAGCAGAGTACAGAAGTCTGATAAACTTGCCTGTAAAAGGACCAATCGGTGGAACAGACAGTAATCTGTTCGCGCCACGTCCCACGGGAAAAACGGAATTTCACTTTTATAGTTCAAGTGGCCTAGATAAAAAATATAATTTATCTCTGATAAATACCATAGCCTCTTGTTACACTTTCAAGCTATTACCTCTCTCCAAGCTATCAATCTGCTCGTTAGTGAAGCTGGTGCGGTTCCGCTGCAGCTTGCGCTTGAGACGCAGTCTTGCCGCGTCGTCGTCTGCGCCGCTCGAACCCGCGTTCGAGTTGTCTCCCGAACCCGTTTCATCTGAATTCAAACCTTCTATACCTTCTAAGGTTTCTTCGCCTGTTGAAGAAATCGCTTTTAAGGATACATATTTTATAGATGTAAGAATATACCATATTTCCTTTGATTAAACAAATAATGGTACATTAAACAAATAATCAACAATGCCTAATACATACAAATGATAAGTGCACACTGTCTTCTAGCAATGAACCATTACTTAACTATATATGATAAAATTATCTTGAGTGTGTTCAAAAGAAATATGAATTTTAACTTCCAACTTATAAACAGCGTTCCTTCTATACTTAATTAAAAATAATGTATTGTCTGTAATTTACGCGAATAGCACACATTTAAATAAAACACTTCTAACGGTATAAACGCGAAATATATTTTTTAAACTATGTTTCCAAATACCAATTGCAAGGAAGCAGATGGCGTTAGCGTGGCAGATTTGACTTTTTTTGACATTATGACACTCACAAGCATACGAAACTTAATCCGTAGTTAAAATAAAGCAAATATAAGTTTAATTAGGACACGTTTTAGACCGTTAAAAGCGCCTACGCTCGCACCGACTTAACAATTCTTTTCAAATACAGTCTGTAGTTTACGCGAGTAGTACACATTAACCACTTTATTGGTTTAAAACGTGACATGTATAAAGTATATTACAGTGACTACGGCATCCGAATAATTTGTAAATAAGTTTACATAATATATTTCGAGTTTTAACCGTTAAAGTGTTTCATTTAAACTTTTTTTATGAGAGCAATGTATATGCATTTATTGGCTGAAAAAAAATTGAAGCAATAAGTATATGAAGTTAAAACTTGTATTAATCATAGCAAATAATATTCTAAAGCGATAAGCGATCGCCTTATCACGCGTGTTTCTACAACTTTGCCGAACAATCGCAATTCATAACTTGTTCACTCGAGAACTTTGCACGTCGCGTGATTTATTCACATTATCTGCTATCTGTGCCTCTATAGAAAATAAACCCAAAACTTTTCGATGTGTTATACACCTACAGAAGTAGTACGACCTACTGTAGGTATTATATGAAAGAAGGGCAAATATCTACATGTAATTGCAGATTGCTCTACGTAAGTAGTTGCTGGAGTAAAGTAATTTTTGAAAAACTATTAGTAGTACGGAGACAAGGATACTAATAGATACAAAGTAGTAGTAGATATTTATTTTAAATACATTCAATAACAATTTTGAACGTAAAGGGGGGGGGGATCTCTTATGACGAGACTTCTTCGCGAGATTCGATTTTTGAATTTCGAATTGACTGTTGAGACAACTAATAGTTTAACTTAAAAAAAATATTCAAAGCCAAAAAAAGGTCAATCCAAAGCGCATCTTGTTCAGATATATGATTGGGGTATTTTAATTCTATTCGAGATTTAGAGAGATCTATTATAAAAAAAAAACTTATATTTGTCATATAATCTTTACTAGTATTATCTATATACATTCATACAGTACGTTACTGAAACTATACTAGATCAAATACTGTCTGTAGTTAACGCGAGTAGTACACAAATAAATAAAACATTGTAACGGTTTAAAACGCGATATATTAAAGTGTTTCATTTATACTAGAGTAATTTAAATTATCTACTACCTACATTGCTGTAATAATATTCCTACATCTATAATTACTATTTATTGTTATAGCTTTAATTGACTGAGCTTGTTTAAATAGATTTAACGCCGATTTGCGTGCGACGGGGTTATTTTGCGGTTTATCTGCCTTACTAATCCGTGGAGATACGGCTCAGGGTACGCTTTGTCCGATGCTGGGTCGTGCTTTCGCCTTTGATACTTTAATTGAATAAGTTTAGTATAAGAGGAAATCTATTTAAGATATAGTTTATTTAGTTATAACTTCATAAATATAATAATTAAATACATGAGTCTGTTATTTAATAACCGTTATGACTCGAATTAAGTGTTATTAGTATTACGTAATAATCTTTGCATATTTAAATAAACTTTAAACGGCTTAAAACGCGAAATATAGTAGTTGACGTGTTCAGGTAATCACGGCTGCTGTAAAGCATACGGAACATTGGGCACGAGGCAAGATAAATTGTAAATAAGTTAAGTAATATATCTCGCGGTTTAAACCGTTAAAAGTGTTCTATTTAAATGCGTACTACTCCCGAAAAAGACAGACAATACCTACTTAATCTTTGCGTATATATGAGATATTATAAGAAAACCTCTATTGTTGTTCTTGTTGCTAGTAGTAGGTAGTGATAGTTTTGACAGCTAGTAGAAACACTGAAATAATACTAAATACTAGATATGAAACTGTTTGGATCTAATTATTTTTCTGAAAATGTAATTATACTAAATAGAAGATAAACTTTGATAAGTGTTAAATAACTCCACATTTAGTAATAAAGACTGGTCAAAATTAAACAGCTTGGCTTACATTTTCTCAATGTTATAAATACTTATAATATACATACATCACGAACATGACCAAACATATACCTAAGTATATATTATATAAGATAAACGAAACCCACCCAGTTATATTACACAGTTTTTTTTTTTGTAAAATAGTAAATTACATTCAAGTGTCAAGATTCTACGGTATCTGCGGCTGTTACCGCGGGGACTGAGAATGGGTGGGCTGTTGGGGAGGGGAAAAGGGGGGGCGCCGGGTGGTTGTAACTCGCGCGTTCATGCGGAAGGACACGATAACAGCCCAGCCTACCACGTAACCCTGCCAGCGAGATAACGTAACTTAAAAATGTATGGACGATGAAGTGTCGAAACGATTTTGAGATTCACAAACGTAATTAAATGATATCGGCTATGAGACATACTACACACTACAATAAGGGCTACCCAGTATATCTTCAGCGGGTACTGTTTCTCGTGGAATGAGTAAACCGTTACGTAACGCGTTAGTTCTTTGTTTTTTAATAACACTCTGGAACTTTTCGTGACGTAGATTTATTTATCAGGTAGATTTGCTTTTTATATTAATCTAGCTGCCCGGCAAACGTTGTTTTTGTTATTAATACCCTTTATAAGACACTTTGTATTCTTAAGAAGATATTATTTATTCTATTTACACTTCTTGTTACAACTTAGGCAAAAAGTTGTGAGTGCATAAATGCCATATAAATTTATTTCTTTTACTAATAATAAATTTTGCAAAATTTCCTAGTAATTTCTAGTGTAGACAAAAAATAGCTTACTTATTGTAACTATGTATGTATGTTAGAATGTGTATATTGTATGTATGTATTAAATGACGATTGATCAGTTTTCCACCTGAGAGGAAAAATTATTAAGTTACTAAAATGGCTATTAAAAAATAAGGGTTGATCGTAGAAGGGTGAAAATTGAGGATTGTATGTATTTTGTATCATAAAAAAATAAAAATTAAAACTTTGTCTAAAAAAAAATATTTAGGGGTGGACTACCCCTAACATTTAGGGGGATGAAAAATAGATGTTGGCCGATTCTCATAGATGCCGGATAAGCACAAAAAATTACATCAAAATCCGTCAAGCCGTTTTGGAGGAGTATGGCAACGAAAACTGTGACAAGAGAATTTTATATATAAGATAAATATTATATATTCATCGTTGTTATTTATAGGGACATAAATCTTTAAAGTTTTAAAAGATGAGACGATTCTAGTAAACATTTACGAAGCGTCTGATACACCAATGAACTTATGTTTACACCAATAGGAGTCCCCAAAATTCTAATTAATTAAAGTTGAATAAACATTTTTTTAGATTTTTAGATTATTTTTTATGAGAAATCTAGTATACATAGCGTTGAAAGTGTAAATCAACTTTTAAAAGTAATCGCATGATAGAATAAAGAGCTTTCAAGTGTTTTAAAGAACCTTTGAAAGTTTTATTGGCTGGATTATCTCATGTGCATACATTATCCAAAATAGGCGTATTATATGAATAATTACGACAAACAGTCAGTAGATCTCATTAAAATAATATGTAATATCTCATACTACCTCAGTAATCAGTGGCGAAACTATAGGGTGGCAAGTCGGCAAAATGCCACGGGCCCCCAGCCCGAAGGGGCCCCCGGTCAGAGGAAATCTCAATTGTTGGTTCAGCTTCTTTATATATTGGGGAAGTGGGGGGGGCGCATTCGATGAATTTGCCACGGGCCTCGAACGGTATAGTTACGCCACTGTCAGTAATGTATACCTAACTTAGTACAAACTGTAAAAAGCTTAAAATTTATAAAACTTAATCATTAGAAGGATGTTTAACGCATTTTTTTTAAATTGTTGTTTATGTTTACTATTACAAGTTCTAGTCAATAACAAAAGCGTAGTTCGCATTTTAACTCTTAATTTGAACCACTCGCGTAAATAACACTAAAAAATAGGTCCACCAAAATTTTCTTAAAGTACGTATCTAAGCAGCGTCTGTACTTTACGCGAGTAATTCACACTGTAATAAAACGTTTTGACGGTTTAAAACGCGATGTCTATAAGTTAAATTTCTTTGGAAATTATTTTAATTGCGGCCGGATGTTTCAGATGCTTTGCAGCCGTGGCCACGGGGATGTACCTAAGTATCTATCCAATAATGCGGCCATATTTTATCAAACTTATCGGACACAAACACGAGTCGACATATTTTCGTTATAATCAGCCCACCCACACTTCGCAGACGAATATGACACCTCGAAACATGATCGCATCACGCAACATCCGACCAGGCCCCTGTTCCCCTGGCATAAGAGCGACAGTCCCCCGGCGAGACCGCGACGCAAAATGACATTCGGTGTATCGGGAGCCCATCTGTCAAGCGGGAAAACATTAATGTTTCATGAAGCCACGCGAAGATCGCTATCAGATAATAGATGTGTCTCTATTTGACGTCGCGGTGTATTACTCCGGACAGGGTGTTAGGCCTTGCAGAGATGGCTATGGTAATTAGTAGGAGAAAATAAGATCTAATTCAAATGACAGTTTTAAAATTAAATATGAGTGGTATAAAATGTCCAAACGACTGGATCAAAATTTATAAAGCGTTATG